AAACCTTAAACACGTGTGTTGATAATCTAGGTGAACCTTGTCGATTGGCTCAAAACAATGGTTTCTAACAGAAATGCTGAGGGAGTTTTAGATCCCAAATTACCTGAGATGCCTTTGTCGAGAGCACTCAAACGTACCCTTTTAGTGGCTTTACGTTGTGTGGACCCAAATGCTCAGAAAAGGCCTAAGATGGGGCAAGTCGTGCATATGCTCGAGGCTGATGATTTTCCATTCCGTGATGTAAGTCTGAATGACTCCAATATGATTTTTTTTTTTTTATTCATTTACGTGTTATTGAAAATCAAAGTAAATTAATTTGTTGTGGTATATCATTTATTATTACAGGATCGCGGGGTTAGGCGTGAAAACGGGCGAACTCATAATGTTGGAACAAAAGAGAGGTTGTTTAAGAATCATATAGCTGAATCAGGAGATAGCAGTGGATACGAAAGCACTGACAGATTTTCACTAAAAAGGTAAGAAATCGATGAATGATAAGTAACAGAGTGAAAAAGATTCATTCTCTTACAGTGTTCGGTTTGAGTTGGTCGCAGAGGGAACGGACTTGAATGCATTTCTTAAAAATTTTATGTATGTTGTAATTATGTATAATGGATAGATTTGTATAGTTTAGGATTTGGTTTGGCTGAATTATGTATTGTAGTTTGTACGGCTCTTGACTTGACTCTTGTTTGATTTTCCCGCCTATTAATTGTTAAGCAGTACTGTAATAAGTTTGTGATTATGTTTACGAGATTGGAGTTTGTGTTTAAAAAAGTCTGGTGTGAGTTGGCCTAAAAGACTATGCAAACAAATTAAATGAACAAAAATAAATGTAAAAACAACTACTCCATTTAGCTGCTGATTTTGAAAAAAATAGACTTGCTCATAGTGAAATTATTAACTTTCGATTATAAAGTCTAACTGGCTTACAGTATTTCTTCAAAAAAGAATATGTTAGTTTATTGGTAGGCCAATTTGACCGATATTTACATATATGTATGCTTTCTTTCAAAATCACTACATGAAAAAAGACTAGCAACGTAAACATAGTGATTCCTTTTAACAAATGTAACTAAACTCAAAATTAAAACGACGCGTTTTGAAAAAGGTTACAAAAGCAAAATAATAATGACTCTTTTTAAAAATTGTAATTAATTTGACACTTTAAGAAAAAAGGTCACAATGTTAATATATAAAGAGACATTTAATTAAAAGTATAATTAAATTATGATGTTTTGTACAAAGTGTTGCCTACTTACTCACTTATATGGTGACATTTTCGTGAAAACTATAATTTTTTTTTTTTCGAAACAATAAATAATATTATATATCAAAAAGAACAAATGTGCGAATACACAACAGCCAACAGCTGAAAAAAGTAGGAGGACAGGTCAGAAGACCGCCTAGAATCCCGACTAGCAACGCTAGAATACAAAACTCATAACTAAACTAAACCCACTACTCAAACAACTAAAACAACTAAAAAAGACCTCAACAGGGTAGTACCCGAGTGTCGGATCCCAACATGATAATAAGGTTGACACTCGAGCGCACAAGGGCCAACGACCCAAACAAAAAACACAAGACATGCACAACACACTAACTAAAACAAATACAAGAACACAAACAACTAAATAAATCTAAAAGCCCTTCCCAGCGAACGAGCAAGCCCAGACCAGCAGTGAACGATCGACACAAGACCAATCCAGACCAAGCAACAGCTACTGAAACTGCAATCAAGCCAAGCCTATACAATCAAGCCAAGCCTATACAGTAGCGGAACCCAATTCCCGAACCAGTCCCCGAATCAACCCATCGAAAATCGAGAGAGCCGTAGTCCATCCTACTCCGATTCCATCCGAACTCTTTTAACACCACTAGACAAGGCTGATAGAACCTCCCCTAACACCACTAGTCGACTGGGAATAGAGCAAGAGAAAAACAGCCCTCCCCCCGACCTCCGCGACTAGGAGCGACGTGGTAACCAGGGTCCCACCCCACCCGACGACTCGCACTCCCCCATCACCACCACAGATAGCCAACGACAATCGGCCCGACCCCACCAGAAGAGGTGACGCTCCGCCGGAAACATCCAAGTCCGGCACTCACAGACAGAGGGTAGAAAAATGGGGCTTACCATCACAAATCGTGGCTCCTCCGATGACTGGAAAGAAGATTCCGATCTCCGACCTTGCTTCGATCTCAAGGTGCGCCACCGTCGTCCGGAACTCCATCTGCAACCGGGAACCTGACGCCTCGTCAGTGGACCATCTGAAGGTGAAACAAGGGCGCGCTTCGCCAGGGGCGGCAGTGAACAATTGAGCTGGCCGAGCTTTATCGTCGCCGAGGAATGCAGCTTCGCTGGAAAATAGAGAGCTGAGAAGATTTAGGTTTTTGTCGCGGAGAATTTGGGGGCACGAGTTTGAAAACTATAATTGATTAATGTAGTATATGCAAGTGTGTCGTCATTTTTCACCATATAACAAAGTAAATGCATAATCATTTAATTAGTGACACTTATTTTTAACAATATGGTGAAATCTTTATATATATGAGATAAAAATAAACTAGACTTATTTTGGTAGATTAGTAAATGTATGTGTGATCAGTGTGTGTAACCTTGGGTTATAAATACATGTAGTCTTTTGTATTGGGAAGACCTATACTTCATTTGCTTTGTTCCTACTTTGAGAATTGTTCTTTTTCTTATTTTCTCTTTAGACTTAAGTTTGTATAGGTTCAAAACTCTGTATTTTCTGGGAATGCCATTTTTAATTATTTTTTTATATTTTCGCATTAATTTCATTTGAGCTCACAAAAGGAGAGTAAGTACTTTGGATAAGACTTATTACTACGATTTTTGTTCCTTTTCGCTTATGAAGTTGTTCAAAGTAGATTTGGTGTCTCGGCCGGAGTTATGCGTTTAGACTCGTTTTTAGTTAAAATTTCTATATTTTGTTTTATCTTTCTATCTAGTGTTATTAGGCGTTTAAAGTTTGAATCTTTTGAAGTAAAAATTGACACTTAGTTTATAGGTCGGTTATTTCGCAATCAATTGCTCGACTTTAGCTTCTAGTTGCGTTAGGTGTGGCTTGTTCCTCTTTATTTTAGTTTTTTTCTGGGGTTTTGAACACTTCGATTCAAGTAAAGTATAGAACTTTCTTTCAAGCTTGCACCTTTAATTATTTCTCTTAAATTTCTTAATCAAAATTAATTTAAAATTAACTCCAATCCATCTTTTTAGAATGTTTAGGACTTTGTTTTCCGTTTTTGTGCTTTTAACATCTAGTTAATAACCGAAGCTCCGAATCACCTCCCTTTAGAAGACACCCCGAGGTAGATGTTTTGATCGTACTAGGCTAAAATTTAGAAACAACGACCCCTCTCCGATGGTTTATGACTAGTGACATCTTGGCGATCGCCCTCGTGGTCGTCCTAATCTCCTCTGTGGACGTCCACCTCTTGGGACTCATGGAGATCGCCCGTCAGACCATGCTCAAGGTCATCCACCGCAGAATTCGGGCGATCCCCCTCTCTCTCATCATGACGATCTCCATCTGGTGACGCTCAGCGATCTTCCAAGACCTCGTCCACCTGCGCCACTTATTCAATCGCTTCGACTACGACTACTTTGGGCGAGATGGGTTAACGATCCTGATCAGAAGGCCCCTTCTTGCTGCATTTGGACGCACTTGTTGATCCTTTTGCTCTGCGCTTCAGGCCTCTCCTCCTCGGACTCGTCACAGGCAGATATCCCACATCAACGCCAATAGAGACCGCTGGTTCACTACCTTTGGCCGATCCCTACACGACAGATTGTCCCCTGCTAGAGTAAGCTCTGCTTTTCTTCGAGAACCTCTTCCTTAGTTCTTAGACCGTTCTCTTGGTCTTCGACATAGCCTCAAAATCGCCACCCTTCTTACCCGTCACATGGTAAAATACTACAAGGCTGATCGACGACCCTTAAAACTACAAAAACAAAAAAATATACAGCCATATTTCTTACACCATACGATCTTCGCAAAACGTCAAAACCATACTACGAAATTACCTAACTCAACCGTGGTATCCCCAAGCCTGGGTGCAAATTGGCCTTCGCCATTTCCTCGTTCTTGCTCCACTTGTGGCACCTCCTCTCTAGCTTGTCCAACCCTGAGATATTTCTTAACTTATCCTCAAAATCTGCCTCTATGGATGGAGCAATTTTGTTCTCCTCCCATGAAAAGGACGCAATCCATCAACACTGACGATCGCTAAAAAGTAACGGTAACCTTAGCAAAAACAAACAACATTTATTACGATTGACAAGCAAAGGAAAATAGCTTACCCATCTTCTCGACGAAGGCGATTGACACATACTGATGCTGACGTGATGGACGATGGTCTCGCCACTCCCCGGCGACCCAAAATCATTTAACCTTCCATTTGTGTAGAAACTCTGGCACGTTATGGATCAGACTGGAATACTTGTTATCACGTGGGTGCAGATGGAAATATCTTGAACTTCCCTTCACCGTCGACCACATGTAGACATAGTCAAGCTCCTTCACGGTCGGCGTCGTCCACCACATGCTGATAAACATCCCTAGCAAAGACGTCTGGCACATCATGGCATTTGGGTGAACTTGCATAATACTAATACCCCACTCTTGTAAATACTCTGCGATCATCGGCGGAAGAGGGAACCGTAACCTGGACACTAAAGTCTCTTTGTGAACAACATTCCCGGCTGGGAGGTCATGTGGTCACTCGCATTCATGCAGGGCGAACATCTGAATCGACCCGGGATCTCGTATTTCTCTTAAAGCTTGAGTAAATCAATGTCTCTCATCACGCTTGCCTCCCAACACACATCTAAGTCAATATCTTCCAACGAAACTTTCATCGCTGGTTATTGCCAGTATCCCTCCAAAGTAGCCACCTGCTCTTCCTCCGACATTATCTCCATTTCTCAATCGCTCGACACAGACATATTTTTAGGATTTCGAAAGGTGTATGCTAACGAAGAAGAAGAAGAAGAAGGGATAATGCAAAACGAAAATTTTCACCAATGGAGATTTGAATTTAAAAAAAAAAAAAATGTGTCCAAAGCAGGAGAAGTTTCCCCCTATTTATGCTTTTTACATCTTCTTTCAATCATTGTATCCATTCGCTTCAAGACGCAAAATCTGAGAGGTCTGTCCTTCTAGACATAAGCATTTATCACACGGTGGATCTCTTCGCTACATGTATCAGGAGAAAAGACATGCTTCCCCTGACGTAACCGTCAAAATCGATCAAGCAGAAGCTTCCCAGACGCATTGTCGCTCCTCTGTGCCTAGGAACCTGGGGGTCTTGGTGTTGTGCCCTCAAAATTAATAAGGATCAGCCCACGATAATCGCACAATTGGTCCCCTTATGATGACTTTCTATCCCAGAAAGCCTGGTGATGTAGCGCAGCGTAAACGAAAAGGGAACAAGAGATAAATCTCAAGAACTGATAAAATTATTCATAAAACATCCACGTCTTCAAATGAAAGGGACGATATAAATAAAGTCCAAACTATTCCTAATCTTTATCTTGCTAATCAAGTAAATAATAATACCTAGGAAAAGAGAATAAAGCATAATAATAAAATATCTAGGAAATAAATAACTAAACTAAAGATGGTAAACGATCATATTTTTCCATATATGCCATCGCGATCTCGTCTCCATCATCCTCCCCCTGTTGGGAAGGATTCGCCCTCGAATCCAGGCCGATCTCGTCTCCGTCTGAGTTATCACCGAGATAAGGCACCAAATGTTTGACGTTAAAAACGTCGGAAGTCCGAAGATGGGAAGGTAAACGAAGACGGTAGGCGTTCGGATTAATCTTCTCGAGGATTTCAACAGGACCAATTTTACGGGCCGACAGCTTATTGTACTCATGGGCCGAGAAACGATCTTTAGTCAAAACTGCCCAGACGAAATCTCCCACCTCGAACTCCACATGGCGACGCCGCATGTCGGCATGCTTCTTGTAGCCGGCGGTGACGGTCTCCAAACGAGCCCGGGCGGACTCGTGAGTGCGCCGCAAATCCGCCATCAACTCCTCGGCACGAGGCTCGGCCGCCACAGCCGATGGCAAAGCGAGCAAGTCCGCGGCCCCTCGCGGACGGACGGCGTATACCACCTCAAACGGGGAGAAGCCCGTCGCACGACTCCGAGCCGAGTTATGAGCGAACTCAGCCTGCGGGAGTCGTTGGTCCCAACTCTTCAGATTCTCGCCCACCAAACAACGCAATAAATTCCCAAGGGACCGATTGACGACCTCCGTCTGACCGTCAGTCTGAGGATGATAAGCGCTACTGAAGTCTAACCGAGTGTTGGCCAGACGCCACAAACTACGCCAAAAATGGCTAAGAAAACGCGTGTCACGGTCAGAAACAATAGAAGACGGTAGGCCATGCAGACGATAAACCTCCCGAAAAAATAAAGTAGCCACATGGAGGGCATCTGCAGTCCTCTTGCATGGTATAAAATGGACCATCTTAGAAAAACGGTCGACGACCACAAAGATAGAATCATTACCTCGTTGTGTACGAGGCAAACCCAGGACGAAGTCCATACTAATAGCAGTCCACGGACGCGAGGGAATCGGTAAGGGCCTGTAAAGGCCTGCATTGGACGCCACAGCCTTAGAAACTTGACACGTACGACAACGCTCAACGAAACGAGCCACATCCCGACGTAACGAGGGCCAGAAAAAGGAGCGACTGACCAGGTCAACAGAGCGATCGCGGCCCACGTGCCCAACACCATGAAGGTCCGCCACCACCTTCAAACGCAGGCTACAGTCGGGAATACATAACCGAACACCACGAAATAAGAAACCATCAGCAAGAACATAACCATCAACAGAGTCAGAGGCAAGGCGAGAAAAAATGGGCCCGAAAAAGGGGTCGGTAGCATATAGATCCTTCAACAAATCAAACCCCACGACCTCAACCCGCATATCAGTCAACAATAAAGAACGGCGACTCAAGGCATCTGCCACACGATTCGAAGCACCCGAGCGATGCTTCAAAACAAAAGTGAACTGCTGAAGATAAGATGTCCATGTAGCATGGCGAGAAGAAATATTACCTTGAGAGCAGAGGTGGCGAAGGGCCTCATGGTCTGTGAACAAGACAAACTCCCGCTGAAAGAGATAATGCCTCCAATAATGAACGGCCCGAAACACAGCATAGAACTCAACGTCATATGTGCTGTAGCGTAATCGCGGGCCCGACAACTTCTCACTAAAGTAAGCGACAGGGCGCCCCTCCTGGCTCAACACAGCACCAATCCCGACCTTCGAAGCATCACACGAAAGCTCAAACGGGAGAGAAAAATCAGGAAGGACCAAAACCGGGGCAGATGTGAGCTTGCTCTTAATAAGATCGAAAGCATCGGCGGCCTGAGGGGTCCATACAAAGGACTTGCCATGAAGGCAGTCCGTGATAGGAGCGGTGATAGAACTAAAATGTGAAATGAAACGTCGGTAAAAAGATGCTAACCCGTGGAAGCTACGCGCCTCCGTGAATGAGGTCGGAGTTGGCCACTCCCGAATAGCGGCGACCTTGCTGTCGTCCACGCGAATGCCAGCCGCTGAGATGACAAAGCCCAAAAAGAGGACCGAGTCGACCACAAAAGAGCACTTCTTAGGCGCCGCATAGAAGGCCTCGGACCGCAGTATCTTCAAAACTGATCGAACATGCTCCAAATGCTCTGGAATAGTGCGGCTATAAATGAGGATGTCGTCGAAATAAACGACGACACATCGCCCAATGAGGTCGCGCAAGGCCTGGTTCATCACACGCATGAAAGTGCTAGGTGCATTAGAAAGACCAAACGGCATCACCAGCCACTCGAAAAGACCCTCTCGGATCTTGAAAGCGGTCTTCCACTCATCGCCCGGCCGGATCCGAATCTGATGGTAACCACTCCGAAGATCAAGTTTGGTAAAAACCGAAGCCCCATGTAACTGGTCCAATAGGTCATCGAGGCGTGGAATAGGAAACCTGTAACGAACCGTGATCTTATTAATGGCACGGCTGTCAACGCACATACGCCACGAGGCATCCTTCTTTGGAATGAGCAAGGCCGGCACCGCACACGGGCTCAAACTGCGACGAACAACCCCCCGTTGTATCAACTCCTCCACCTGGCGCCTCAACTCTTCGTGTTCAGCCGGGCTCATACGATAATGAGGACGATTAGGCAGAGAAGCACCGGGCACCAAATCGATATGATGCTGAATGTCCCGAAGCGGAGGAAGACCAGAAGGTAGCTCGGCAGGAAAGACATCAGAAAATTCATCAAGCAAAGGTTGAATAACGGTCGGCGGGGCCGTTGGTGTGGACATATCAGTACCCAAAAGAAGCACGACACACGGTGCCTCCCGCAATTCACTAGCAAAGGCCGTGTGAGACAATAAAAGAACCTGTGGTGGCGGTGGCGGAGGCAAGGGACGAGGAGGCGAAGGATGAAGGATCAATCTAACACCCTCAAACATGAAACTGTATGTGTTGAGACGACCGTCAAAAGCCACCGCGCGATCAAATTGCCATGGACGACCTAATAAGAGATGACACGCGTCCATGGGCACTACATCACACCACACCGAGTCACGATACTTGGGCCCGATGGAAAACTGGACCAACACCCGACGGTCCACCGTGATGGCGTTACCTCGCTGAATCCACGCCAAAGTGTACGGCTGAGGATGCGGTACCGTCGACAACTGAAGGCGATCCACAACATCCTGGGCCACTACGTTTTCACAAGAACCAGAGTCAATAATAAAACGACAAACACGACCACCTACCGTACATGTAGATTCAAAAATATGGTGACGCTGTAAAGACTCAGTAGTGTCAGAAACTCGAGGTGCCAAACACGAGCGGCGAAGAACCAAAGCAAGGCCCTCGTCACCACACAGATGTTCCTCCTCCGGGTCTGGCTCGACATCAAACTTTGGCGGTCCATCATAAGCTACCTCCGCCGAGCCGTCAAAGTCATCTGCCAGTAGAGCCCGAGAGCTGTTGCGGCGGGGACAGGCGGACTGACGGTGGCCGGCCTCGCCGCAAGAAAAACAGCGGGGACCACCTCCGGCGCGCGACCCCTCCATCCCAGCTGAGGCAGTCCCGATTCCTACAGCCGTGCTGGTCGACGGTCCAGCCGAGGGAAATCCAGTCAGCCCTGTCGAGTTGCTGCGACCACCCGGCAACGGCGACCGGTTCAGCCCGGGCGACGAAGACGGAGCGCCTCCTACGCGCGGTTGAAAACCCGAAGACGGCAAGGGTCGCCGCGACTGCTGCTGTTCAATGAGTAAGGCCCGTTGATGAGCGGTAGAGACGGTTTCCGGGGTGAACAAGTTCAACATGTCGCGAATGGCAAGTCTCAATCCTCCTACATAACGGGACACCTTTTGAGCCGTCGTTTCACGTAGCTTGACACGCGTAAGAAGACGATAGAAATCCTCCGTATACTCGTCCACAGATCGAGCTCCTTGTCGTAGGTTATGGAGTTGTTGATACGTGGTACTGATGTAGTTGAACGGAAGAAACTCCCGCTCGATATGTTTCCGGAATTTGGCCCACGTTGCGATTTTAGGTTTACCCAACAGACGCCTCTCGTCTTTGAGATGTTGCCACCAGGCGACTGCCCGTCCACGCAGTCGCGTGCTGACAAGCCCAACTCGATGGTTGTCGGGCACGTCTTTGTACTCAAAAACCGCCTCCACCGAAGCAAGCCAATCCAGAAATTCGGCGGCGTCCAGCCCACCCGAGAACTCAGGGATATCCACGCGAAACGCACTCTCCCAACGCCGTTCGCCGCGCGGGTCGTCATCTCCACGAGGATCATCTCGCCCAAAAGGGTTCCCCTCCTCCTCCGTAGCGTCCGAGTCGCCGCCCTCCTCCTCGTACGGCGCACGTCGGCCACCACCAAAACGCGCGTGACCGCGACCCCCACGGCCACCACGCTGCCCACCGCGACCGCCGTCCCGATGATCGGGCCCGTCACGGTTCGTCTGCTCGCGTCGCATCAAGGTTTGGAGAGCCTCACGAATATCCTCCATTCCCGCCGCCAAATCCGACATATCGCGGCCCATCGATTGGAACTGCCGCCCGAAACCCTCGCCTTGTCGCGTGAGGGCTTCAATTGCCGCGTCCCTTCGCTCGTCAGCCGTGGTGTCGTTCCTCTTGGGCGGCATCGTGGATCGTAGCTAGCCCATGTGCCAGCGGTGACCGCTGGGCCCAAGGGGGGGTGGATGATGCAGCGCATCCCACATCGGGTTTGAAGGGAAACGAAGCAGGCCTTATATGAGGGTGTGGATACCTTCACTAGTAAGACGCGTTTTGGTGGGTGTGTATTGAAGCCCAACCAAGAACAAAGCCGTGCGGGTGGCGGAAGTAGCCCAAAGCGGACAATATCTTACTAGGGTCTGCGCCACCTGGCCTAGAGCAAGATTGTCGATCGACCCGATTGGCAGACTACAACCACATGTGATGATCGACTACCGACCGACAGAGGTCGACGAGCGATCATTGGCTTCCTCGAGAAGACTCTTGCCATTTGATAAGGCCACCACCCAGATCTTTCACATTCTCAAAATACGGGCCTTGCATACATACCCACGGTGCCACCCTACACGTAGGTGGCATAATGCCTTAATGCCGAAACCCTAATTTTGTCCATAAAATCAGGCCTCCATAGGAGGTTAACAGGATCATAGTATCACCGTTCATGACAGCAGTAGCCATCACCACTACCCTTTTTTTTTCATCAAGAAATTACTAACTGATCGGCTACCCTTGTTTTTCGGCCATTAGCCACACCCGTAAACATTTCCACTAATAAAATAGGCAGGGAGATCTAGTTCTTCTCGTCGCACCCATTTATGGGCCGGCAAAATCTGTGTCGATTTACTCTCTGCAATTTCTTTGATTTAGTGTCTAAATTAACTCCCTAAACCATTACAATAGCAAATTATACTCTAGTAAATCACTTTAAACATGATTTCCGTACTCATTGGCGGCCTCCCGTCAACATCTTATTTGTTAAATACTCTGCTATAATATGATTTCTATTACTTGTATGTAAAGGATGAATCGTGTACTTAAAGAAAGGAGAAAGTCAATTGTGTTAGAGGATCTTACAATTAACTTGGTCAAGATCGAGATCAATAGATTGAATATCTTAGGAAGATATGAAGAATATACAAAACTCGAAAACAATGTTCCAGCACTGATAATGAACAAAGATTTTGGAGATCTCAATTCAAAGAAGTTGAACCAATTTGGAAGGGAATCTAGTCCACATGGAAGTACGTCGAAGACTTTGCAATATAAAGGCTCCTTATCATCTTGGAGTTTATATATATGCATGCATGGAGACTCAGAGACATGGTTGCTGCAATTTAGTTTGGCATTAAGTTTCATGTTCAAGAGTGTCTCTATGAGTTCTTAAGTTTTACTTTGCATTGTTATTAGTTTAGTTTTTTGGCGATTTAGTTTTGTTTTCTTGCATCACTAGAGCTGTTTTTATTCTTTACTCATAAACTATTTGAGTACTTAGGGATTAAGTATTTTATCAGCTAGGGGGAATCGTATAGCTGTTTTTTAAGTCCAAGTTGTGGCCAACTAAGTAGTTAATAGTTTCGGGTATAGTGTTGATAGGATTAGGAGGGAGTCATTTTCTTGTAAGTCCAAACTATATATTGTACGCGCAACTGATTTACTAATGAAAGAGCTCTGAGGGGTAGTGAGACGCTCCCCAGAGACAATTTGTTTACTGGATTGCTTTCTCTTTTAATTTATGTTTTTAAAACTGCTTTGCGTACTCTACATACTCTCCCACAACGTTTCACTTCTTATATGAATTTCTTGGCGGCAACCTTCGTTCATTTCTTGATTTTTATTTGCGCTTCTTGGCAGCTTGCGACTTGGCTCCTTCTATTTCATGCTATTATTGCTTTTTAGGCCAGTACCTCTAATGTATTACTTTCGACCCAAATCCTCAACTCAAGAAAAACACAATCATGTCCCCAACATAAAAAAATAGCAAGAATGAGATACAACGAGAGGTGAAAGAATGTTGTGATAATTCGAGCTCAAATAACTCCCAAAATCATTAGGTATTGACACGGTTAATCTAGTGGAGGATTGTCGGCGAGGGCACCTAACCTGAGGAGATCAACAGCCGCTAAAGGTGGCCAAATCGTGAGCGAGTGGTGGTTACATATGAGGCGTGTTTCCTCGGTATAGGAGATTGGTTGTAGCGTCACAACGAAAACCCGTGGCTCCTACGACTGTAATTCAAGGTCCGAGTAGGTAAAGCTCATCTTTGTCGTCCATCGTTTAAGCCAATTGATTTTGAATGGGATTTTTGGAGTTTTCGCAACTTCACGTTAAAATATTTTTTCGGTCGGGCTCCGTAAGACAGAAGGAAGGAAATAAACGAGGGTCGGAAAAAATACAATTTCAATTAAGTAGGAATTACTTGGTAACGTGTAGGTGCCCAGTAAATTATGGTCATATTAAAATTTACCCACCGTGGACAGGTAACGGACCATATGAAAAACATACACTACATGTTATAAAATACGTTATATATATGACGCGTTTTTCCAAAGATGGTGTGAAAACCTTTACTAGGTTAAGCTAACATATTCCGAGGGAAAGCACGCCGAGTGAGGTTGTAAAATGGTGTGAAATCCTTGGCGATCACTATATGATAGTTTCTCGTCCTAATTAACGGCATCAATAGTTGTCAAGTGCCAAAAAGTTTCATCAAAATGTTTATTTATGTCAACTTTATTATTTACATAGTAATTTACATGCCCTTTCAAAATTTTCAAATGCACATTCACATTTTAGTTACTTTCCATTAATCACTTGTGTACAATGCTGTCATAAATTGAACGGAACAAGAAATACCTAACTCAACTGAAAGCTCAAACCTGGTCCATCATTAATTGTCAAACTATTATATATAAACATAAATCATTCAAAGTCAAATTGTTCAAATCTTGGGAACTCCCAACCTACTGATCTCAGGCCTCATTTTGTACCGACTATTTTAAGGGTGAGATCATCCATAATGTGTATACTTTGCTTATCTAAATGTCAAAATTCAAACCTCATACTGAAACATTCCCAAACGACGTACACATTGATTCAATACACCAACCATTACCTTTCTAGTTGGATGAGAAAATTGAAATTGTAGTCCAGTAACTTAGGCTGTTTCCCACTTTAGTCCAGTAACTTGGGCCGATCCAAAATTAGTCCAAAAACTTCCAAAATGTAGTTAAATTAGTCCAATTCCGGTCCCCATCGCCGGAATCCGAATTGCCAACTCAGCACATTCCGATCGGATTCCGGCGAGGGGGACCGGAATTGGACTAATTTAACTACATTTTAGAAGTTGTTGGACCAATTTTGGATCGGTTCAAGTTACTGGACTAAAGTGGGAAACAACTTAAGTTACTGGACTAAAATTGCAATTTTCTCTTGATTTTATTTGTAGTTCTCTTATATAGCATCTTTTACTGTGAACATTAATGTTAGGTTGCTTAATGATTAGATGGTTATACTGTTTAATAATATATATTTAATTTATTAAATAACATATTTTTATTTAATTAACTTTTTAAATTATAACGTTTGAATATGAAAGTAACTGGTATAACTATCCAACAATTAGACAATCGAACAGTATTACAATATTATATATGTATGTATATGACTCACAAATTTGATATTTTTTTCTCAAGCCATAAACTGCCGTAGGCCTTCAAAATCTCCCACTAAAGAAAAACTTGAAAAAAAAAATAAAAATCAAGAAATTAAACTATTTGTCAATATTAAACGTATTGAAATTTGAAAGTGTAGATGGTATGTTCATTGTTCAATTAGTCAATATTTCTTCTTTAGGCTAATGCAAGCGTTTACAAGGCCAAGTCAAATTCATAATGGGGTCCATTCACAAAAAGTTTTCACCGACCACTTTACAGAATGCTCTTATATATAGCCATGCACATAATTGCAAAGGTTGCATAACAATCCTTCAAGGAANACCCATAAATTTTCCAACTTCTTACAGATAATAATGGAAAATAGAAGATGCAGCTATGGAAAATCAGGGATGACGTACAAGGTCATGATGTCCATGATTATAGCATTGGTCATGTCCTCAATGTTGTGCCATGTAGAGAGTCGGAAGCTTCCGGAAACTTCC